AATTATTTTTACATTTGGTCCCATATCTTCTAATACAACAAATGGTCCATTGAACAGTTCGTCCAACTTACCACCTGTTTCTGACTTTACTAAAATTAAGTCATCTTTATTATAACTAATAGGATTAATATACTTATCATATTTTATTTTACGACTACACTTACTTTCTAATAAATTATTTCGGGCATCCTTAAAAGCAACTTGCAACCTATATTTAAGTTCACTACTATAATTTTCTGGGTTATACACAGGTTCTATTGTATTATATAATCTATTGGGAATATTGCACTGCCTACCAAATACAAGTTCAAACGGTTGGTATTTTGTTTCGGTATGGACTGTGGTATTAAAACTAAAACACCAGTATGGTAGCCAATAAGACCAAGATTGTTTGTCTTTGTCGCAGTGAATTCGTAAGAATGAACCTAAATTTTTATGAGCATTCTCCAATGCTCCGATGGATTGATGATGGTATGCTGTTGAGGTAATATTATCTATATTTAATAGTTTACATACCTGGGTTATGGTGGAAGATGTGAACTCTGTTCCTCTGTCTGTTGCTATTATTTTAGGTATGCCGAATCTTAAAATAAAATTATTTACTAACGCTTTAGCTACGCTAATGGATTCCTTATTTTTTAGTGGATAAGCTTCTATAAACTTGCTTAACTCACATTGAACAGTTAAAATATATACATTATCATCATAATCTTTTGGTAGCGGGCCCACTATATCCATAAATATTTTTTCAAACGCGTATGACGCAGTTGTCGAGAGAGTCATGGGTTCTTTAACGTATTTACAATGTTTAGATTTCTGGCATTTAGAACATTTTCTAACAAATTCTCTTACATCAGTTTCGAGACCTGGCCAGTAAAATCGTCTTTTAATATTGTTTACCATCCTACGGACACCAGCATGGCCACTGGTTGGTAGTAAATGAAAATCATTTAATATGAATGATTTCTCTTCATCGTTATCAATCCTAGTTACACTTTTTAAAATGCAAATCCGTGGTCCGGACCACTTCTTAATCGACTTTATTTCATCATTTAAATCGTTAATAAATCTTTCATTATTTTTATCTTTTATTATGCATATTTCTTCAATATTTAACTTTTTACAGAAATTACTCAACATTGTCACAAATTCGACTCGCGAGAATTGCGCCTTAAAGTTGAGATTAATGTAAATCATCTTTTTACTAGGACAATAAGAAAAACATTCATACTCATCACTTATTCTGTTTCCCTTTCGTAATTTATCTAATTCGTAACCTACTATCAATTTCATTTCTACTGAACCACACGGCTTTCTTAATAACTCTACAACTCTTGGTTGATCAGGCCTTTCGTCTCCAGAGTTATTAAGGAAGGGTGTATCCTCTTCCATGCTATTCTCATTTACCTTTACCTCTATTACCTTCTTTTGTTTTCTTGTTAACACAGCCATAACTTGCTCATTTATGCCTTTTAATTCATTAGATGTAATATATATTCTTGACAAAGCATCTGCTCCTACGTTTTCTTTACCTTTTACATATTCGATTCTAAAATCATACTCTTCTAACGTTAATCTAAATTTCATTAACCGACTAGAAGGATCTTTCATTCCGAATAAATATACTAGTGGTTTATGATCAGTTTTAATAGTAAAATGCCTACCATATAAGTACGGTCTAAAGTATTTTACACTCCAAACTATAGCTAAAAGCTCCTTTTCTATTGTTGGATAATTTAATTCTGATGCATTTAAAGGTCTGCTTGCGTATGCAATAGGTTTCAAATCTTTATTAGTCAAAACTGCACCAATAGCGATTCCTGATGCATCTGTTTGAAGAATAAACTCATTTTCCGGAGAAAAATCTGGGTATTGAAGTATAGGGGGAGAAATCATGGCTTCTTTAAGAATATTAAATGAATTTTGACATTCCTTACTCCAAAAAAATGTAGAATTTTTCCTAGTAAGTCTATTGAGAGGAATTGTTATATTAGCAAAAGAGGGTATAAATTTTCTATAATAATTACAAAATGCAACAAATCGTCGTACTTCATCAGCATTTTTAGGAATGGGATAATTTTGCAACACTGAAACTTTTTCAGGGTCTGGTAGTATGCCTTCTGATGAAATTACGTGACCAAGATATAAAATTTCTTTTTTTAGAAATTGGCATTTACTTGGATTTAATTTTAAATTAACTTTTCTAAGTCTCTCAAAGACATCAATCAAATGTTTGTTATGAATTTCTAAATTTCTGCCAAAAACAATTAAATCGTCTAGGTATATGAAGCACTTTTCAAACGTAAGCCCAGACATAGCTACCGACATAACTCTACTAAACGCACTTGGTGAAATTTTGAGACCCATAGGCAGTCGTTTCATTTGGTATTGGCCTAAATTAGTACAAAATGCAGTGTATTTACGATGTTCTGGGTTAAGGGGAATTTGATAATATCCAGAATTTAGATCAAGATGGGAAAAATATATGGAACCTGAAAGTGAATCTAAAATTTCTGTGATGTTAGGAAGTGGAAATTTATCATCTTGAATATTTTCATTTAGTTTTCGGTAGTCTACAACTAAACGCCACTTTTTTTCTCCTGTTTTGTCACTTTTTTTAGGAACTAATAATATTGGACTAGACCATTCACTTTTAGATTCTTCTATTATATCATCTTTTAGCATGCTTTCAATTTGCTTTTGAACCTCAGGTTTCAGGCATTGAGGAATCCTGTATGGCTTTATATAGACTGGACTAGTATGGGGCTTTAATGTAATTGTCTGTTCATAAATGTCTGTCGTTGTCAGTTGGTCACCTGGTAAATGGAAAATATCTGCATATTTCCGACAAATAGTACTAATAGATTTATTTTCTTCGGGATTTAAATGATCTAATTTTAAGATTGATGATAGAGTATCGGCTCTTTTAACGTTTGCTACAGTTTTATTAAAATTACAAATATTATAATGCTCTAATGAATGAACCTCAGGGATGAATCTAGGTAATTTTATATCCTTTTCACTAGTATTTAAAATTTTAATTGGTATCTTGCCATCCTTTATTCTTACAATCGTACTTCCTAAAAACAATTCTTTACTTAATTCTTTCGCGCAAACCACACAATCACCTTCCAAACCTGATTCTACAGCTACATAGTGTATTGACTCACTTCGAGCAGGGATAAACAAATAATCCGTAGTATAATCCGGTATTTCATAAATTGGCATAAGACATTGTTTTCTATTAGAGTGAAGACTCAAAGTATTAGAATTTAAAAATATATCACATCTAAAATTACTTAAGAAATCTAATCCAATAATACCATCTACTTTTAACGATAAATTGGTAAAAACATAAAATTTATGATGAAATGATTCACCATCTTTTGTTTTTAATGTTAAATACACATGACCTCGAGATTTTACTTGACCTCCTATTCCATTTACTACAGTCTCACTTTTATAAATCGTAGTATTTTTATGTAGAACTTCGTTTCTTATAACAGATAACGAAGCACCAGTATCCAGTAAAAAATAATATTTATATTTATTTATTTCAAAAATAACTATTTTTTGTTTATTATTTAAAGTAAAAATATAATCCTTAAATCCGAAAAAAATGATCCGGTAACTGACCTACGTCATCTTTTTTTATAGGTTCGCTGGCTGTATTATGTGTATTTATTGAAAATACATTACGATTATTATTACTACGTTTAGTATCCCTAGAAAATTGACCGCGATTTGAATGTTGATAATGTCGTTGATTTCCACGGTTATTATACTTACCACGTGAAAAATATTTATTATTATAATGATCACGTTGATTATGTCCCATTGTGGTAGGATACCTATTCTTAAAATTATTGTACCTACCTTGAAAACCTCTTTTACCACGAGCCAAGAATCTCCTTATGTGCATGACGTCAGAGTTCGTTGAGGTTGAGGGTAAGAAAATCTCCTCGTCCTTTGCCGCTTGGATCGCGTCTTTAAGAGAAGAGTAGTTTCTAGCTGCAATTATGGTACTTAATTTACTATTTTTTAAACCATCCGAAAACTGTTTAATTGCTGACTTTTCGTTCAAAGGCTTAAGAATGCTATAATTAGAAGTATTTCCGTCTGCTTGAGATATTGTTAATTCTGTGAAAAGCTTTTTGATTTCACTTCCATACTCCTCAACTGACCTCCAACCTTGAGTAGTCTGTTGAAGACGTGCTTGAATAGCCGTAAATGATTTTTTAGTTAAAAGGTGAATTTTCATATCCTTAACAATATCCTTAACAGAAGTATAGTCTGTCAACATGCGCATTTTAGCGTTTTCGGAGAGTCTACTTTTTAAAATAAATTTAATTAATAAAGGAAAATCTGAATCTTTAAGCATATCCGCATACATCTCAATACCATCAATTAATTTCTTCGTAGTTTCCTCTACACCGTCCATAACCGGCAACAAACTACAAGCCGTTTTTAAATCGAAATCCATTTTTGTGAAATAACTTTCCGACTTAATACACAATTTTTTTATCTCTAAATATATTACATTAATATTTTCATATATTTCAATAGCATTATTAATTATATCCGACTTTTCAGTATACTTTATATTTTCTAAAATTAATCTGCTACTTGATAAAAGTTTTTCACACTCATTTAATTTATTTTCTATGATATTTCCCGTAAATCTTTTTTTACCCGATTTTATTAAGTATTTCTTTATATCAATTAAAGAGTTATATATTAAACATAATTTATCTGTCATACTAAATCTTAATAATTATAATAAACATCGAATCTTAAAATAGCACATAGTAACATTACTGACAATAAGATATCTAAGTACATCGTGTAATTTGAGCGGGAATGGAATGTCGCATCTTTCCTTCTCGGGCGGCGCGTATCATATTCGCGAGTTTACGCGCGCCGAATATAATTATGCACAGTTTAAACACTTACGTGGATCACAGTTTAAGGACGCACTTACACACTTTTTTTTTCATTTAGTCACCTCCTTCATTCGATGATTTTTGAGAACGGCCGCGTCGAATCATACTTGTAGCTCGTTGTAGTGCCAATGAATTAACTTCTTCCTGAATCCATCGCCTGTGGCATCGCTTGTAAACCTTATAAGCTCCGATGCTAGCCGCCAGCAATACAATCAACACCACAATTCCCATGAAAATATTAGATATTCCGATGCTGGATTTTAATTCTTCTATGTAAGCTTGGTTGGCAGCTGATCCAGCAGCATTTTGTCCAATAATTATATTTTCTTTTGACTGCGATGACTGACAGACACATCTTGGATTTACGTAGAACAATAGGGCAGCAAAGCAGGTCTCTTCAGCAGGGTCGCCATCAAATGTGGTATGTTTTAGAGGTTCCAAAGATTAACGTCTTCTTAGGTTGGAGACATATTTAATAATCAGAAAATAATAAGTAAATTTATAATGAAGCTTAGCTTAATGGGTGGTCGACCATATATGGATGATACATGAGAGATAGATGATACATTACTAAAGTATGGCTTACAGTACTTAATGCTATACTATCACTATACTAATGCTATACTATATTATGCTATATTATACTATACTTAATGTATAAACATTTTACACTTCAATAGCTTTGCTAGACTCTTATTCGAATCTGGTTAGTTAAAAAAAATTACATATCGGTTCGCTTTTTTTGTATTTATTCATCAGATCATTTGTCGGTATTTAATGACTAAGCTTCATAGCATTCAATTAAAAAGCTGCAATCTTTTCCATTCATACTAAAAAACTAATAAAACCAAGTAATTATAATCTGTTGTAAAAGCTAGTAAGAGATAATTGGAGTTCATGTTCAAAATAATAAAGTTTTAAAAGCTATATTTACGTCATTGCAAATTAGTACTCAGAAGTAACTTTCGCCGTTACACAAGTCGATATTGCCTTATACGCTGACAATCTTAGTCATTTCTCTTTTAAATTAATGGTCGTAGTAAAATATTTTATCGGTATTTTGTAGCTGTTTAATTATAACTGACGGTGCGCTTGCGCAATCGGATACCGTAATAATTATATGCGAGCATGTAAATTATACTTTGATATTGAAAGTGTCCGAGAACCCTAGACTTTGCTTGCACAAATGCAAGTTTAAGGGCTCGAAAATGGTAGACATAATACTATCTTAGATTTACGTGAATGTTTAACATTTTAAATGAAACAATCTTTTCGGCATATATGCAATAGAATACGGTTCATAAGATACAGCCCTCGGACAGACGGACAGAAAGACGGATGGACGATCAAACGGACAGCGGAGGCTTAATAATAAGGTTCCATTGGCACTCTTCGGGTACAGAACCCAAAAAGTGGTAATCACATACGCTAACGGTACGGTTACCAGGCAACGATAGAGTTAAAGAAAACTAAATCACGTCGTTAGATGTTGTGTTATCTGTCATTACTTACTTGTCTTCAATTATACTATTGGTGTTTTACAACTTGAAAAAACGAGACACTTAATAAAATACTTACTTTTATGTTGTATACGTTGTTATATTCTTTTCCTTTAAAGCATAGTAGACTCACGGATAGTCGCATGTAATTTACAAGAAGTCCATCACTTAGATCGGAATTATCACCTCCTACAAATTTTGAAGTTATGTATACCCACAATAACAATTCTCCATACTACGTGACATTGGCGAACTAAACTCAGCTCGATAGCCCGCTTTAAAATCATTTATTGCAAAAATGAACTGATAATTTAAAAAAAATATACAAAATGAAAATAGAAATCAATCTTACGATATAGTTCAGTAGCGAATTAGGAAGAACGTAGTATAATACAATAATATCGTCACTTGCCAATTTTAGCATAATATAAATATAAAGCTCATATACTAAAATATGGTTTAACTTAGAAATTCTCAGTACAAAAAACAACATAAAACAAATCTCGTCCAGCATCCACCGCTCTGGGACCGCCCTCAATCTGCGATTCATTCATAGTAGCGCGCGTGCTCTCGGGATGGACTAAAGTTTTATGTATTTCGATTCTCCAATACTAAAAAGAAAATTGAATATTCTATCTACAGCCAAAAGGCTATAACGTATAGGGACGAACGGACTGACTAAATTGAATTATATATGCCAGTATTACATAATATTTGCAGTAACGAGAATACTCACTGGCCACTGCAAACTTAAGGTGGCACCGATTGAATTACGAAATAATTGCGTTCGTTTGATCCCTTGCTGTATTGTTATTACTAAAACTTTAGTTATGCTATTAATATGTAGGATATTTAAGGATTTATTCTATAAATCGTACATTTTAGAAATACGATTACTTGTAGTTTAGTACCGATAGAAAAAAAATTCAAAATGATCTCTAAAAAATAAAATAAACCCTTAGTGCGGCGTAAATAATTCAAGGAAGGTCATCAGGTTCTTAATAATAGCAAAACTATATGTTTTCTATAACGTATACACTTTACATTTTCAATATGTGTATTTGTTTTAATAATACGAAGGAAATACCTAAATTCGCATGCGTTCTGTCCTTACTAGCCCCCCTTATGCACTGCAGAAGTATCCATTTAGGGCAGCATGTCATGCAACCGGAGAAGATACAGAAGCTATCCGCTCAGAAGATATGGAACTTCCTGGAAACAACAGGACTAAGTGGAGAACTCTAAATCTATTATTAAGGGAGCTACAAAGAATCAATACTATTCGAAGTAGTAAGGCCCGATCTCGGCACCACACCTCTCTATTAAATAATAATTACATAATATAATTATTTAAGAGTTATTTACATACCCTTATGTATGTATGGGTGTAATCTGCAGTCTGTGTACATTTTATTTTAAAAAGTTAGACGTATTTGACGTATACAGACATACATTTACCGTAAATCTAGAAACTACTACTTTCACTCTACTTTTTGAAAACATATCAAATTTTAAGGCATAAATAATTTATTTGTCTAAAATTATGGAAGTCTCAAGTTTAATGTTTATAACGATCAAGTCAATTTTTTTGAACGTATTGATTTTTATAGTCGTCATTATTTTTGCTTAAAATTAAATTTTCACTGCCTTTTAAAGAAAATATACTTCAAATATTAATTTTTTTTTACTAGTAGAACAAAGAAAAGTGGACAGTATTTAATTAAAACTTATTGAATAATCGCGATGGTCTCTTTAGATATAAATCTATACGAACTTTGTTACCTACGCCTCGAAAGAGGCTCGAGCTTAATTTTATTTTAATAGCTGACAAGATTACTTTGAACTATGTATTAGGATTACAAAAATGTTTAGATTGAAGTGTGATTGATGATGAAAATTTAATAATAAAAACCCGTCAAGTGCGAGTCGAATGCGCATCAAGATCCTTGAGATATAAAAATAAAAAAATGACATTTTTATATATTTTTCTGCAAGATATTTTTTTTAACTCTAAAATTAGGTTTCTCAATGCGAAGTAGATTATAAGCCATTTTTGTGTCACCTAACTTTCTATGTATGCCTCTATGGTCTAGTGGCTAGTATGTACGGGTGCAGACGACGGAAGTCCTGGGGTTGAGTCTGCTATCGTCCTAGCACCCTAACTCTCACCGGTCGTGTAGAATTATCATCCCACGGAATTTAAAGTAAAAGGAATAAGGAGTATGCACTTATATATATCTACGTATAATGTATATAAACATACACTACACTATACATAACATTTTATACTTGTTTGGTGTTTGTTGAGATAACATAATATATCACGTCGGGGTCACCAGTTTGGTATTTGTTGAGTGACGAGAAAGCACCAAACTGGTGACCCCGATGTGATATATTATGTATAAGTCACCTACACTTAAATTACTAATCTCAGTAAGATCATACAGTATATACGAGTTAGTATGACCCATATAACTTCCATCTAGAACATTCGAGGAGTATGAACCGTTAACTGCGTCAATATTCCATTGCCACATATATGGAACCCTAAAAATATAATCCAATTACACCTTTTAGAATTTATTAGCACATAAAATATGAGATTTTGTAACAAGCAGTCAATATCCGTATGAAGCGGCGCGGCTGTTAATGTGATTAGAATATCTCTCGACCTCGTTTCTTTACGATCTTCCGATGAAGTCTTCAATTGACTTGCTGTACCAAATCTAATCTATATATGAATGCAGTCGGTCGAGGCCAATAGAACTTTAACGGGAGATTAAATTGTGAGAGATGCTAGTTTTACGTTTAACTATATAGATGTTATATAGGTACGTACATCTATCTAGTGTTCGCCCAATGGTCAAAATTCGGTCATAATCATTTTTTTGATAGCACTGAAGCTCGTTAATAGCTTCTAAACAAAAAAAAATCAGTTGACAAACAGAGGAGAAAAAGTTACTGAACTTTTATGTCTTTGCCTATTTATTAATATGTTAGATTTGTAGGTATAACTTAGCCCTTGAAGCTTAAGAGGCAGGCCCCAGATTCGAGTCTCACGTTGGGCCGAATTTATTCTGCTCATAAGTCCATCAGAATAATACATACAAAATGCGCACATATTGCTTCACTACACTCGTGTGAATAACTTTCAATATCTTTAAAATCGGCCTAACCGTATTAAAAATTCATGCATATCAAAAGATATAGTCAGGTCAGCAATAACAGATACAAATCGAATTATTATTATAAATGTGAAAGTTTCGTATATGTTTTGTACTTCCTGTCGCTCATACAGCTGGACCGATTTTGAAAGAAATTTAGTGAGAAATTTGACCCGGAGTAACATATAGGCTATCGTAAGCCTACTTAGTACGCACCCGAGTGAAGCGGGGGAAAATTAATTGTATTATACATAATAATACAATATGAACAAGTTAAAAAGCACAGTAGTATGAATAAAATCATTCAATTGCTTCACTTTAATAATTAGTTAGATTATAATTTAGTTAATGGACAACTTTAATCAAATGATATCCAAAATAAACTCTAAGACGATTGGTATAACGAAGAAAGTCGGTCGCATCGATTCAATTAATTACAAATCGGTATGTAAGAGTGAATGTCCTCGTATACATGCGGACGTAAATCCTATTAGTTGTTAACGATCGAGGACGTTTTGCGACGCCTGATCCACGATAATACCACCATGGATAGAAAAGGACGCTAAAGCAAATCAGTTTTAAGGGCTTTTAATTGATTTTGTCTCTCGATGGATTTTTTGTAGCTTCGTGTCTACAGTTACAGTTAGTTAGTTTCAGTTTTCTATCGTAAATTACACGTAACATTAGTTATTAGATCAAATCCACACTATTATAAATTATGTACTATATTTGAAACTATAGAATCATATCTATGTAATATGTTTGTATGTACATACTGCGAGAGTGGAGGGAATTATGAGCGAAGCTAGGTATAAAATGTGGAATCAGTAGGTACCAAATATAAAATAATAAATATGTTGGGACATCACACGGCGCCATCTAGTTCCATGGTAAGCTATGAGGCTTGCGTTATGGGTACCAGATAGTTGATACACTTCACACAATATATAACTTTAAATACATATACCTATAGTAAATATGTTTTTATAGTGACCAAAAAATATAATAATAATTAATGTAAATTAAAAAAAAGTTGAGCAACTAATGTTTTGCCGACTCTATTCAGCAGAATCAATATATAAGCCGATGACAAAACGGGCACTTTTTATGTATTATATGTACTCGTACGACTTAACGAATTAAATGTGCTTGCATTCTGAGTTTGAAATATGTCATGGTACAATATATGGTATAACGTATGGAGGGTTTAGAGAGTTAACGTATGGAGAGTTTTCTTTTTCAGAGAGAAATAAGCATATATATGGCCTTGACTTAAAACATTTAGGTCACTAGGCAATTTCCAGTAAGATAGTTACCACACTCCGTCACAGTCCCCATACTGATAAGTTAATACGATGCACGTAACAGAAGGCCTTGTAAATTGAAGGGTGCGGTAGAATGTTGTAACAGTGTAGTATCAAAATTCGTCTCATGTTCAACATCTGTACCGCGGAAAGAATAAAAATTCAGCCTCAATTTTCATTTTAAATAAAACTATCTTTTGGGATTATTTCGCGGATTTTTTTTTAAATCCGAAAAGATAATTTTATTTACAATGTCAAATATTGGCGTAAATCTAAGAAAGTATTATCAATTTTCATTTTAAAAGTAAGCGACTTCACTTAGGCTCTAAGTATTTTAAGGACATGTACTCTTGCATCCTACATAATTTTATTTCTATGTTTTTTTTTCGTCGGTTTTTTTCTTCATTTTATAATTGAATTCATTTATTCTCGATAATCTAGAGCCTTGACTGAAGAAGTTCAAGTTGATCCGATGATCTCTGATCTGATCTGATGGCCACAAGAGACGTCGCCAATCAATCGATTTACCGCTTGAAGCTATTTAAATAGTCAATTTAGAATATTAATAAAACCTTGGCTTTGTCAATTAAATACTTGTGGTAGATTAGTGAGTGTAATTGCTTGTATAGATAGTACACTAATTTTGTATTATTTTATTTGGCAGTTAAATAAAACTCTGAATACAAAAATATAAAATCTACTCGTCAAATACTATTCAAACTATTATTCATCGTAAAATGCTACTCGTTTTCCGCTTTAACTTCCTTGAAGCCTATTAATAACATCTTTGTGCGTTTTTGTATATTTTTGTAGTTTATATTATCATGGGAACTATTTAATTTGTCTCATAAAATCAAACAAAAAAAATGGGTGCGTTTAACCTTTACGCGCGGTTGAAGTAAAGCTTCTTTGGCAATAATACAGAGGCCGAATCTATAGTTTTTAGAATGTTTGTCTGTCTATCTGTCTGTCTGTTACCGTATCACAGAAAAACCACTGGAGGGATTTTGATGAAATTTGGTATGGTGATAGCTGGTTATCCGGGTCAACATAAAGGATACTTTTACCGCGGGAAAATATCTCATTTCTGAGAAAAAATACAAAAAATGTAACGTAAGAGTATACTAATATGTAAAACCTAAGAACTTGGTTATTGGTCATCTGAACGCGAGCGGAGCCGCTGGCAATGCTAGTATTCATATAATAGTTTAAATAGTTTTTAATTGTCTATTTATTCACTTCGGTAACAACCGTTTCCGTTACAAAAATCGTAAAGCCTATCCCTTTTCCCTTCCATGCACATCTAAAGAAGTTTCACTTAAATAATAATTCATTACCAATCAATATAATGTTAGGATATAGACTTCGGAACTGCTGATATTAATTATCATTTAGAGAAAGTCGCTCATAAATAAATCTATACAAATATAACAGACGACTGCTTTTTATACTACATAGTTAATATTTAGAATAAAATATGTATAAATTATAGTTATAATGTGGAAATTAGTGCAAAGAGTAATAAAACATTCATCACAATCATCTTTTTATATTTATTTCAACGGCACGCCCTCCAACCGCTCATTCCCATTAATTCACGTAGTCGAGTTATGTTCCAAGTAGCGTTAGCACCAGACTTCGTCGGTGTGGTAAATTTTTATGTTTGTCTGTTCTCTTAAAGATCGTAGCATGATGTTAAATATTCTAGGAATTATTATAAAATCTCATTAATCTCATTATTAATATTATAAATACAATAGTTTGGATGGATGTTTGTTACTCAATCACGCCAAAACCACTGAACGGGTTTGGATGAAATTTGACACAGAGATAGATTATAGCCTGGAATAGCACATAGATTACTTTGCATCCCAGAAAAATGTACAGTTCCCATGGGATAGATTTGTTTTTGTTTTTCACTAGGAACCCGAGCAAAGCAAAGGTGAGTTGCAAGTACTATATTAAATTCATAAAATATTTCTAAATTAAACTCATTCCAAATTGACACTTAATAATTCTGAATAAAATATTTTTGTCTGTTTTTAAACACATATATATATATATATATATATATATATATATATATATATATATATATATATATATAGTTTTGCATGGTTAGTTATAAAAATTAAATTATAAATTAAAGGATATTTTGATTGAATTTAGGATTTTGTATCAGGATCAATAAAACACCTTCTAAGTGGGTGAAAGCATTTCCTACGAGCGGGAATCGAACTTGTAATTTCCAGCAAGGTATTGCCTAATGCTATAAGATAGTCATCGAATGTAAAGCATTAAGGACTATTAAACATAAATTGTATTGAACGTACACCGTAGTGGTCTAATAACATGTCTTTATGCCGAGGTCACAAGGTGAGAGTTCTGAACAGACAAAATGTCATATTAGTTAGCCTTATTATATTACTAATACAAAGTGTTTACAGTATGAGGCATTATTAATATATATAAAAAGAACTCAAAATCATATAATAATTTATTTTCATTAAATCATACTACGCTTCCTTCTTCTCCACATCCTCATCAGAGTACAGATGAGCGTTACAGAGTTTGATCAGCTTAGAGCAGAACCAGAGGATCAAGAGGATCAGCAGCAGTATATCCAGGTTGTATCTTTCTACGACGGACGCCCTCTCAGAGGGGCGGAGGTGCGCCGCGCCGGGGAGGGTAAAAACTTGCAGCCAGTGGAGGAAGTCTTCCTTAGGTGAAGTTAGACGATGTCGGAGTACGGCTTTAGCAGATTCTATATTTTCCCTGTAACTAAAAAGGGTGTAAGATTTTTAAAATGTTCGAAAAAAATATGTATGTATAGATATAATTATTATTTTCAAACTAAAATCGTCTGAGAGTGACGACTAAATATTTTGTCGTTAGATATTTACTACAGCACTAAACCATATACATAGATATCCCGTTTTGGTAAACCTAAAAGATTAATAGTTTTAAACATATAATAAATATTATATAAATATAATAAAAGTGTGTATAAAAATATTTTCTCTATTAACCTTGTATTACTTATTATCTTTTTAATTCCCTTCTCTACTTTCCAAGACACCTCATTGACATCCACTCTGATCGCAAAGCCTTGTCTCACAATAGAATCTATATTAGAAGCTTGATCTGGCAACACTGGAATGCCCATGAGTGGTACACTATGGTGTACTGCAGCGATGATGTGAGCCATGTCACCGTGACTCACGAATAACAGAGTATTTGGATGACCTATTAAATAATAAGAAACACTATATATACATATACTAATAACTTTTCATCTAAGACTTTTATTCTGTGGAAGTACTAAGCGTGAGCTAAACACCGTATGGTACCGAAATATAAAGTAGATACTACTTTCGTGTAGATAATTGTATCATCCATATCCAGAGTAAAATATCAATTTAGCTTAATCTTCATAATCATTATGAAAACTAATGCAGGTGCTTTAGTACGATACATAAAAGATAATCCATACCGATTAATAAATTGAGGTGTCTGTTTGTAATGTCAAAATAATAGCTTTTTACTAAATGCATTTGATATGACGGTAATTATAAAAAAACTCGGTGTTTAACGTTTTTGTTTGTATGTCTGTTTGTTCCGACTAAACACCGAAACGGCTGGACTGATTTTAACGCGACTTTCACTGACAAATAGCTGACGTTGTAAAGAGTAACTCAGGCTATACTTTTATTTAAGAAATAGAATTAGGATTCCGCTTAAAAAAAATTACAACGTACATAAAGAATCACCTAGAAGTCCCTAGTTCTTATACAAAATAACAAACATATTATAGTTGAAAATATTACTTAAAATACTCTGCGCCGGCGGGTTTCTCATGATGTGAACATTCTTGGGCAGGTTTAGGAGAATTTCGTCATATTTCAAAATTACACTCAGCTTAGTTCCAGCGAATGCTTCAGTTAACTCTTGTATTAGATTTTGATGTATATCATGTTTAATTAAATAAGTTTCTAACTCTACGTATATAACGCCTTCTATCGAATCGTCCATTAATTTTTTCAAGTTCTGTAAAATATCTATTATAAAATTTTCTTTTTGTGAATTAACTGCAAATTGAATCAAATATATGGTCACTAGTTATAGTCATTTACTTATCTAATTTTCTTCACTTGTTAACATAATTTATGTTGAAAAATATTTTACCTACAAACTGGTCATATTTCAAGTTTTTCTGCGTGGTTTCTTAGAAAAAAAACCCACCACAATTAAACAATAGATAGATATATGTTACAAATTAAAAAAAAATGCTTGAAAGTCCGTTTTTACGTTTGGGAACTGAGCTATCACACGCAGGTAGATGTACATTAAACTTACAATATTATTTTTCATTGAACGTTAAAAATAGGAAAATATTATTTACCTTTTGTAATTGCGGAATACGATCTGACAGATGGTGTCCTCCGATATATTTGGCGTTGGGTGGTAGGGACCACTTGTCCCCAAACAATGCATGCGAGTTAATTAGTAGTCCGGAAGCATTGTACACTAAGAATTCGTAATTTGGCAAAACTATTCGTTTGCTTTCAAAAGGAACACGATAACAATCTTCATATGCTGACATTTCCGTAGTACTGAAGTGGTAGCTAGAAAAGTATTGCAAATAAATTCTGTAAAAACAGTAAAATTAAAGCATTAAGCTTTGTGATTGAAGGCTCATTCTAAAATATTCTTAACAATAAATAGTAAAAATTGGCAATGTGTTAGTGGGACTTTCACAAGAGGTTTTAAATGCTTTTTAATTTTTATATTACCGTCAATTATATCCGTAAATACAAGCAAATCGTCAATACGAAAATAATGATAATATAATGATAATATAATAATAATAATTTGTTGGGACATTAACACACAGCACCATCTAGTTCCATGGTAAGCTACGAGGCTTGTGTTATGGATACCAGATAGTTGATTCACTACATATATTTAATTTTAAATACATACGTATTATAAATTTCAACACCCATGACTGGAGTACAAACATTCGTGCTCATTACACGAATGAATGCCTCCAGTGAGACTCGAACCCGCGACCGCTAGCACAGCAAGTAGGGTCACCAAAAACTGAGCCAAACGTATCGTTAGTCCTAAAGCGCGAATGTTACTTGACTGATTTTAATTTCGCATATTGTGTTGTACACAAAGCGTATAGCGGGATAAGCATGGCCAAATGGCCCCCTCTCTAGATCTTGGGATTTATTTACGTTGTTTATTTGGTGAGTGGAACTGTGCAATAATATAGCATTTTTACCCCTTTATCATAAATAGTTTTTAAAATAATTATAAAAATATTTATAGCTGAGGGGTCGGAAAAAAATATTTTTTCATCGGATCTACTGCGTCAAATTGAATGAGGCCAAAAGGAATTTGTAGGGGGCCCTTTGGCCCTGCTTATCCCTCTATGCCCTTTATTTTGGTTAAGCCCATTTAAACATCATATCACTTTTCAAAGCCTATACCCACTAATTTCGATATGCTAAATGAAGCTGTGACATCATCTCATACAGCCTATCTTTTATAGATAAGTCTGCGGCTGGAGCAGGAACTGTTCCATGTACCAACGCTAGAGACTTCCACGAGATGTCGTTGTGCGTGTACCAGAAGAGAGGACAGTCGAATACTGATGACAACCTGATAATGTAGAAGAATATATATGTAAGTATTAGAATGTATTTCTGTACGTATACACCTTCTCGAAGGTTATATGGGACCACTAAATAGCGATAGCATCGCCATGTAAGGCATACAATTGATTTTTTTATAATTAAAAAATACTAACTACACTAATAATTATTAGAATACTTAGTAATTATAAATGAGAAATAAAATTTAATATATTATTTACGCCTCATATCCTTTTAATAATATTTTTAAGACCTAATTTAAATTTGATTAAAATAGTATGGGAAAGTAAACAACAGAAGGGTGATATACGATATATGATTCATACGAACTGAGGGAGCAAGTTTAGGGTGGGTACCATCGGGTTTCAATTTAACTGCGGACGTAGAAAGAACATAATTGCTCTTTTATATACCCATTTGACGTTTAATTAAACATTTGTGGTTAACTACTGACTGACTACTGAAGCCGAAAAGACCTAGAGAAATTTGCCTTGCATATATTGTCTATATATACTTAGCATTTTTTTAAATCAATTTCTGAGGGCAGAGGCAACGGAATATGGTATACATATAAGTTTACATTACTTTTTAAAAGTAAGTTATGAGGATTTTTATACATCAAATTGACTTACGGTGCTAGAAGTCCAGAATAGAACCATTCAGCAATTATTACATCGAAGTGGACTGTGTCATTCATCATCAGTGCTTGCATGTCGGGGTGTCGGAGAGCTTGTCGGGCCACCTTCACCCCAAGAGTCTCCATTACCAAATCCTTATCTACATCACTTGGCGTTATTCTATCTATAAAATATAATATATAGAATTCTAGTATTAAACCCTTATTATATATTAAATCTCTACCATCAGTATAGCTGTGTGTTTGTTTATGGTGTTCCGTTTTTATGCAGTAAAAAATGGATCGACATTGACGTCGGAAATAATGTTATTAAATTTAATGTGATTTTTATATACAAATAGGTTTATATGGAATTAAGATTTAGTTATGTATTAATCTAGTCCCAGTAATGTCCAGTTATTGAAAGAATAATATAATTTAGCGTTTATCTATATAATCTTAATATGTATATATAATTCTTCTGTACGTGTATTTGTTAAACTACTCCTCCTAAAGTCAGGGAGACTTTAGGAGGAGTAGTTTACAAAACTCAAAAACGGCTGGACCAATTTAAAGAATTCTTTTTTTGTTTTATTGGGGGTGTGTCAGGAGTGGATTAAGTAAAAAATAATAAATAGGGAAAACAAAAAAACAGCTGGTAAATCAAAAAGTTCAGAACTGTTTATTTTATACCTAAGTATATATAACATATTCTATATAGTCCAAACTAACCGGTAAAACGTACCTAGGGATGAACCCGGGCGAAGCGAGAGTGAGTCGCTAGTTAAAAATAAATTCAAGTGACATATGTTTTGCATAGGAATTTAAAACTAAATTCTAAGTTATAATTTTTAACAAACCTGTACTTTCTAACGTGGAGCTAATGTGGACATACTCCAAATTATGTACTTTTTCTTTAGGAAAAGGTGTCACGTAGGTAACCTGGAAGATGGAGTCTTTTGTAGGTTATAAATAAAACTATTTTTCCGGATATTGTCGCGGATTTATTATGATATTTGGTTCCTGATGTTTCGAATGCCGAATTTAATACAGCAAGCATGGTCATGGGAGCAGAAAGCAAAATTTACGCGTAAATCTATCCTTCCTTCTCTTTGATATTTTTTTCTGATAATAGCAACGTAACTGTTCATAACATTTATGTTACTGCATCTAGATGCAATTTAGATTAAAAACGTTTCTGTCTTTTTATTTTATTATTCGAGTTACTGTTGCAGCCCATTTCGGTAGTTACAGGAGTTTTCTTTTTGGGAATCAAATAAAATTCTGTGCACGTGTACCGAAAAATTAACTATATATTTATTGTCGTTTTCTGTTGTCCAATTTTCTTAATCACGTCGAATAACATATTTTTACAATCAGGAATTTCTTGCAGGATCAAAAATCTGCTACCATACATCATACACATACACGACCGTAATAATACATTTCTTTGTAAATTAAGTATATTATTAATATTATTGATACCTCATGACCCACACTTAAAAGAGTTCTAACTAGAGAGTCTCCAAGAACACTGTGACTTTTCTCTGGCAAAGGAAATACAACTAAAATACTACTCCCAGCACTTAAATTTAAAAAATAGAACAATGTTAAAAATCTTAACATCTTACAGCTACAAAACCATAGCACGAACTAGACGATGATTGACGTATCACTTGTTGTCTAGATTACGGTACAATCTTTTATCTCTTTATTGATAACAAGGGCTCGAGAGATGTGTTGTACTAAAAACTATTTATGAAGAAATATTTATATAAATTTTTTTTAAATATATTTTATAATACTCTCTTAGATTTACGCGAATATTTGACATTTTAAATATATATAATAAAACTATCTATTCGGATTTTTTCGCGAATTTAATATTTTACACATAGCATTTTAAATTATGCAAAGAATATATTTAAACTTAATGAGCTTTTTCATTTTTTTAGGTCACATGATGTGTCAAAACGATAAATCTTTTTAGAACGGTCCCAAAACTAAAAACCCTCAGTATATATATGTATATTAAATTATTTATATATATGTATATTAAATTATGAGACATCTTATACTAAATAAATATATAGACGGAGTTTACCAAAATAAAAGTCAATAGTAGCGTGTTTTGCTATTTATGCTACTAGTCTCGATTTTACCTATACTTGTCGTTTTCTTTCTTTAAAGAATAAGGGAAATTTTATTATGTATTAGTTAAATTAATATACAATTTTTGAGAATAAAATGTGAATAATAAAAACAATACTATATTCTTTTGTATTTTTTAAGCATTGATTCTGTTTCCTTGAAGAGGAGTTAGAGATTATCTTGTTTTTTTCTATTATAATAAAATGAGTATATTTTATTAACATTTATTAATTCTTTTCTATTAGTCTAATTATATTCTATTATTACTTATTAACATTTATTTATTCACTTAATATACAAATTCTTATTTTGGAATATTACATATTTTTTTAAAACAATATTGTATGGCTTCATGTTTAGTTCTATGACACTATCTATATTATTCCTTAGTATGAGTAAGATATACGAATGATTCAAAAAGATTCAATTTTTATTTTCAAGTACGACCAAACACTAGAATTTAAAATTTTTAAGATATATTTATAAGCTATCAATAAATAAAATGAGTTGACAGTTATTACCACAAGTACCTCGACTTGATTTATAGTTAGTTACTAGCTCTTGCGTCAACATCTTACTTATTATCTCTTCATAATTCCATATATTTCATAAGTCTGGAAGAGGTCCAACTTCAAATTGAGGGTTGAACGGCTGGTACCCTGCCACAAAACGAGTTTCAATTCGTTTTTGGTGAGAGTGCCGACTCATCATCTGCCAACGTTCATGAAGGAGGACTTTTGGCCGCAGGGCGTCGTGTTTCGGAAGTTCCGAGGTCGTTTGCCCGCTGACACAGCTCACACGTCTGCACTACGTGTTAAATAGTTATAATTAATATATGTATATGTTAGTTCTAAGGTATATATTATGCTATGGGCCTCTGTTTACATATTTAAGATCTTTTTGTAAATATTGCCTGAAACAAATGATTAAATAAAAAATAATAATAAAAAAATAATTATTAATTTACTAAGAAACAACGCAGAATACTAGCATACATAACGCCGTTGAGAAATGAGACGTCTATAACTTCAGTCTATCCCGTGACCATTGTTTGCTGTAAAGCATTCGAAACGTCGGGAATCAAAATAATTCCGCAAAATAATCCGATGAGATAGTTTAATTTAAAACTAGCGACTCACCCTCGCTTCACTCGCGTTCATCCCAAGGGACGTTTTAATTTTTTTGAGCGGAACCCTAATTCATTTTCTAAAATAAAAGTGGCTTATCTTACTCCCTATAACATCAGCTATCTTCCAGTGAAAGTCCCGTCAAAATCAGTCCAGCTATTTTAGGGATTATCCGGAACAAATAGACAAAAAAAATAATTGTGTTTTTCTTATAAGTACCTCATATAATTATGTTTTTCATATGCATTTAGTAAAACACTGTTATTTTCACATTACAAACAGACACTTCAATTTTATGTATCTGTATAGATGTCAAATGTTCGCCTAAATTTAGATATTATTGTGTAAAATATCTTTTGTTTTACAATACACAATATTCGGAGTCAGGGTCACGGTTGACCTTTCTTTCCTGTTTTTAAATATACGAGTATATTACAATATCAATTATCTTTAAAGATTTCAAACTAACGGTCTTGACGTTTTTTAAATTATATATCTCATAACTGAGATATTATTGTGTATTTATTTGAAGCATGTGTGTCGGCGGAGTGTTTCAGCATCTAATTTTGTGATATGTTATTTTTATAAGAAATTTATTCCGGGTCAGCCTGTCGCTCGTAACTCATTGCAAATTCCTCTAACCAGTTATTGTTTGTATTAAAAGATCGATTTTATATTTGCACTATATTATATGGAATATGACTCACAAGAACTGTGGGTCAATCAAAATGGGGTCGTCTAGAAATCTAGTTTATTTAAAAAAGCTAAGTGGGGAAAAACGTTTCCTACGTTATGTAGTTTCGCTATATGAGGTTACATCATAAGTACGAATCGTCGTGTCAGAATAAATCGTGTCAGAATATAAAATTGTAACTAAGCCAAATCTGTACATTAAATATTTTTTGGAAAATCTTGTTGAAATAGACATTATTATCGATACAGAGGCCGAATCTATAGTTTTTAGAATTTTTGTCTGTCTGTTTGTCTGGCTTTCTGTCTGTTACCGCATCGCAGAAAAACCACTGGAGGGATTTTGATGAAATTTGATATGATGATAGCTGGTTATCCGGATCGACATATAGGATACTTTTTACCGCGGGAAAATATATCATTTCCGAGAAAAAGTACAAAAACTGCATTGTAAGAGTATACTAATATGTAAAACCTAATAATTTGGTTTTTGGTCATCTGAACGCGGGCGGAGCCGCGGGCATTGCTAGTACATATGTAAATACATTCCTCCTTCACCCTTTATCCTATGTACTCGTAAAGAGCCAAGCGTTAAGATATTACGCATATTTGCTTCTGCTGATACCCTCATTGTCTTCATCTACCCTCGTTGAGGGGTGCTGATACTTAATCTTCTTTAAATATTATTAATACTTACTTAGTCTTTAAAAATCCCCTGAAGTATTCTTGATTCTCTCTAGGAGGTCTATTTTAACAAACGATTTATCAGTATGGTTGAAACAAAAAAATCATCATCATAGAAAAAATGTGGTGTGGTCACTATATTAAAACAGTTGTCAGTCGTATGAATCTTAAATTTTATAATTACAACAATTTGTCAACCCTACTTCCATAAAAACAAATATTATTGTATCTTGTAAATATTAAATTTTTAAGGTATAAAGACCTCCACTGTTTGTTATTCCGTTGAAAAATATGCTCTCGACTAGGGATGACGACACGAGACTATGAAATATCATTGCATCGATAACACCGTCATTACTGGTTTAAACAAAACATATTAAACTGCTTTATGCAAAAGGCATTTTAGGGGGTGATCTGCTACAACGCACCTTGCGTTTTGCATTACCGTATACAACAAACACGTCACACGAATACGGCATTTCATTTTATGTTATTCTCCGGCATTTACAATATTATTTAAAAATACTACTGTATCAAAATACTAATATTTTAGAAGAAATATTTAAATTTAATGTAGAGCTATGAAGAATAATTGGAGGGCGTTCACTTCATATACTAATACAATCGCTGACCTGGAAAATTGTATTCCAAGTGCTAATGCTACTGCCCGAGATGAGGTACAGATTTACACAGCATTCATATCTTGAGATGGGCTTATTTTTATTACGCCATCAAATTGTGAAATTCATTATTTACCTAAGTCTCTGATGTCGTAAACGAATATTGAATTTAAAAGCATTTTCATTTCAAATTACTTTAAGCTCTTATTTTTACGTCTGGTGTAAATTTTCTCAATTTTTATTATCTTTTCCATGAAAATATAAAGTTAATTGCCCTATAACTATATATTTAAATGGTAAAATAAGTGATGAACTCGGACATATGGATAAAATATGCAATCTTTTTATCGGTTGTATTATACTGTACTCCATAATATCTATTTGTGTGTCTGTCTGTGGTATCATAACTCTTAAAGAAATAAATTAAGTTAAATAAGTAAGTAAATTAAGTAGTTTAATCAGTATAGGTGATTTTTATACCTAATTTCAGTCGACTAAAGTTTTGCCGATATTCCTGCAGTGATATATTGACCTGATTCTTATGCTGTTATAGGAATCTGTATAGTTTTCTGTCGAGAGCTTTATACATTTTAAATTTATTATTCACTATCCTGGAAGCTCTACACTGGCAATGTATATGTTATGTGTTAAGACACGCATAAGTGACTAAAAGCTGTTCTTTTTAAATCTAAAAATACATAAATCTATATATACGTAAAGTAAACCAAATAAGAAAATAAGATGAGTAATTGGCAGCACAAAGAGTGCCAAACTCAATATATGTATGCATCCCACTTATACTTACAGGTACACCTCAAATAGAAAGTAAACATTTATTAACAAAGTGTTTTTATGCTATATTTCGATATTATTACTGTTAATAATTCCTACATTAATAGCACATGCCTTTCCGGGAAGAGAAAGTAATTAGAAACGTTCTATCGATAGTGTTGTGTATAACGCTCAGAGTCCGGCAATATTTGATTTTGAGGATGTCAATAATTGTCAACACTGGCCTGTTGATCTGAAAAATAAAGAGATGTTTTTAAACTGCCAAAAATAATATCATGCTATGTCTATTTTAAATCAAATTGTATCAAAACACACAGATAATTTATTTTAATGGACTTTTAGACATTTACAGTCTGTTTTGAAACATCAATTGATTCGATTATAATGTCGGTGTTGCAAGTGTGTAAAAACAAGACTTAACAGTTGCTCTATTTAACGTAATATATATTTATAATTTAATCCTTTTTGATACTCCACTGCTGGGCACAGGCCTCCCTTCAAAACGAGGGGATCTAGCCATAGCCCACCACGCTGGCCAAGTGCGGGTTGGCAGACTTCACATGTCTTTCGAAAACTTGCTAGGTTCTCTCGGACATGCAGGTTTCCTCACAATGGTTTCCTTTGGGACAAGTGGTAATTATGTTGGAAATGATTCGCACATGAAAATATCAGAGGTGTCAGACCAGGGATTGGAACGCGCTTCACTCGGTTTTCTAAGCGAGCGTGTTACCACTGGGCTAGCACTGCCTTATTTACAATATTGCAATACAATTAATATGTACTTTTCCTACCAAAATATTGACTAGTATTAGTTCTACATATTCATATCTGAAAATATACGAAATATTTGCAAATATATCACACTAATGTTTTACACCACCATATACTTTTCACTTTGGGGGTCGTATTTATTTTATCGCATGATTAAAATGTCAACAAATAAATAGCTTTCATCGCATTCAACATAAGTATATACTCGTATACTAGAGGGGTGCGAGTACACAGTACGTACTCGTAGTACACAGTACACACGTCACGTTGTGATGAAGGCTGAACATTCTTCAGCGTTTATTGGAAGTGAGAATTAAACCGACTCTAGAGCTGGGTGGGAATTCCTACGAGTTCTTTTTACTTTTATTGTCTTCAGAATTTTACGATCGTTTGTTTATAACACTTGATGAGAGAAGCTGTATTACATATAATATGATCTCACTATAAACTTCATGCTCACGCTTTATGCGGGGAAGCCCGCTCAAATATAGTGCTTGAAAAATGGTCTAGTATAATAAACAATATATATATATATATATATATATATATGTGTGTGTGTGTGTGTATTGTATGAGGGGCAAGTTATAAGGAAAAATATAAAATAAATTAGATTGTAGGGTAAATAAAAGAGCACAATCGATTTAAGTACCAAGAATAGCCATGAATCTCTAAAAAAAATAAGGCTGTTTTCTCTATATTTATATATTCAAAGAAGAAAATCCACTCTCATTTTCACAAATTACTACAGAATTATTTCCGTAAACCACGATACATTTCGAGCAATAATTTTTGCCACTGTAGAGTTTTATGATAAGAGGATACATAAATTAAAAATTTATATCAACGTTACACTGACCGCTTTATAAGTTTGTAAAAACATTGCGAGATGATCGAGATACAGTTGTCTTACTTCCGGGTATAAATATATATTTTTATTTACCACATGTATCTTTATGTAAAATAAACTTTTGCCCGCAGCTCTGCTCGTGCTTCCTCAATAAATAAGCTATAAAATGAATTTTCTAAAATAGACAAGTCATTCCAGAGATTACCGCATTCAAACAAACAAGAAAAGAATCTATGTTTTTAACTATTAGTATACTACAAATATACTAGCAATTTTATTGTAATACTAGCTGTGTCCTGTAGTTTACCCGCGTTAAATTTGATTACAAACATCAGTTTTACAATAATGAATGGAAGTCTGCCCGATTTGTTGACATTCATGATTACTGCTCCGCTCCCTTGGATAGTAGTATGATGATACATAGCCTATAGCAGTTCCTAAGGTTCCTTCCAAATAAACAAACAAACAAACAAACAAACAAACAAACAAACAAACTCTGCCTCTTTATAATATTAGTATAGATTGGACTACATAGAAGTAATTACACAAGTACTATTATGACGTTTGTACCTAGAATTCAAGTAGAACATCATAGCCAGTTATATTGAGCTTAATTTTCTCATCTACATGGCTAAACTAATATTGATGAAACTCTGTATAACAATGCATTCAATTCTAAAAAAATTGAGCGAAAAAAATTTCTCAAGTAACCAAAAGCTTCAGTTCTTAATTTTTAAAAGTTTCAAGTACCTGCCAAATTAATACAAAAATTAGAAAGTAAAGAATTCCTCAGTAAAAAAGCTTTTATAAAGCTAGATTTTTGGGAAGCAAAAGTAACAAATTTCTACTACTGTAATGTCTGAAAGGTAATAGCTAAAGAACAAAAAGTTATTAAGGCCGGTCCTTAAAGTAAAACATTGATTTTTATAATGGAACTTTTTCGTAAAGTAAAATTGGCTTTCCAACTATAATTTATCTACACATCTAATAGTATAACGAGTTTAAGATACTTTGACATGAAAAGTATTTAAAAAATCGCGGAGAAAATGAGATCTTTTTTCAAATACAGTATCAAAATAACCTGTTTGTTTGTTTGTTTATATAAGTAGAGATAAATATATATATTTACTTTTACATTAATAGAAGTAGCATGAAAACAAATGTAAATATAACGATGTGATCGCTTCCCTCGTTAGCTTAATAAAATAAAATCCTTTCACTCGTTTCTGTAATGAAAAAGAATTGTAAACAGGACGAGGAAAAGGATTGTACTATTTACGAATGATTGTAACCAGTCCCTGCTTTGGGTGAGGAAAGCTATGGAAAGAATCAATTAAACATATGTATTTAAAATGTTATTTCCACGAAAATCGTTTTATAGAAAAACTAGCATTGCCCGCGGCTCCGCCCGCGTTCAGATGACCAAAAACCATATTCTTAGATTAACACATGAGTATACTCTTACATTCCAGTTTTAGTATTTTTTTCTCAGAAATGAGACATTTTCCCGCAGTTTAACCAGCTATCACCATACAGAATTTCATCAATATCCCTCCAGTGGTTTTTCTGTGATGCGGTAACAGACAGATAGACAGACAGACAAAAATTCTAAAACTATAGATTCGGTCTCTGCATCGATAATAAAGTCTGTTTCAATAAGATTTCCCAAAAAATATTTAATGTACAGCTTCTGCTTAGTTACAATTTTATTATATGTATAGATTATATTCTTAGTAGATAGATGTCTATTAAGCAAATTTACTGAAAGAAAAATAAACATTTAGTCTAATAATAATTTCAAACCTATAAAACAAGTATAAATGATGCTATGAATCATTTTCTCAGTCATTTAATAAAACCGTACAGCTATTTTTCTTTCTACTGAAAAGTGAAAACTCAATCGCGTTGTTTGTTAAACGTTAAAACGACTTTCGAACCGGCCCACATGATGCCACGCGCTCTACCTCGAGGCTGACAAATATGTTTACAGTGTTCATATGAAAATACACATATTTTTATTTTTATTTATTTTATTTTTATTTTATTATATTATTTTAGATGTATCTCCTAAAGTACCGAATTGTGAAAATTTACTGGTTATTATATATTTCACCCTATTTTGTCGTAAAATGTATAAAGAAAGATTTTAATAATTTTTGTATATTTGTAAATAATATATAAAATACTAGCATTGCCCGCGGCTCCACCCGCGTTCAGATGAACAAAAACTTAATTTTTAGGTTTTACATATGAGTATATTCTTACATTGCAGTTTTTGTATTTTTTTTCAGAAATGAATTATTTTACCGCGGTAAAAAGTATCCTATACGTTGACCCGGATTACCAGCTATCACCATACCAAATTTCATTAAAATCCCTCCAGCGGTTTTTCTGTGATGCGGTAACAGACAGACAAAAATTCTAAAAACTATAGATTCGAACTCCAGTC